CTCAGTCAGCTCCTCATCCAGCCCCAAGTAGAGCTCCACCCTCTCCTCATCTCCCCAGCTTGTCTTTCCTAAAGAGCCTGTAACCTTTCATTCCAACACTCCAGTCATGGAAGCCATCCCACCACATACGTATTGACAACTGTAGCAAGACATACATTCTACAAGCATAAAATACATCTTATCAAGAGTAAAAATAAAAATTGCTCCAAAACAAATGCAAACCTAAGTACTACTGTAACAACATCCAGAATCTTCAGCACCATTATGTGAGATGCTATAAAACATACATTATGTCACATCACCAAAATTGTTTATTGCTAATAGAACACAGAGAAATAAAAATGTTTATTCTTTTAAGGTGCAAGGAAAACTGCATTGTTCTCAGGCAGCAGCTGCTTTTTCTGTATGCTCCAATTTTTAGCAATAGTTTCTCCAGGACACAAGCTCTGTCCAGAATGCTATATAAACTACATTCAAAAGGACACAAAGAGAGGAAAGAGAGAAACAAAGACTGATAATAAAACCAAGTAGTAACTCAGAAGATATTAACTCAGTGTACTATTATTTTAAAAAGTTTCATCTTTCATAATCTGTCACCTGAGGGATAAGAAAAAGTAGCCGATTCCAAGCTGCCTGGAGAGAAGTACCCTTTGTATAGGGTGGTGTGGAAAAAAGCATAGGAACAATGGGGGAAAAAATTACAGGTCTGTCAGCAGCAGAACACAGAAGAAGGTCAAGCCCTGAGATACAAGGTTGGAAGATGAAGGACACTTGAAGTGAGAGCCAGAACATTAACATACTTCAAGCAGATGGCAAAGACTACATCATTAGAACTGATCACTATTAAGAGACAAGCATATGCATGGATTTATTTTTAAAGTACATAAGAGTTGTACTTTACGAAGTACAGTAAATGCTTTTAATGGAATTCAGAAATGAGGCTTTTAATTTAAAAATTCCCTAGGTCACATATTAAAAACTGAATTCTCAACACAAAACTCACAGATGTAATGTTACTTATAAATATACAGCGTGGTTTATTGTTTTATTTTTCAGTTATCCAAAAACTGTTTTAAATACCATAATTGCTTTCCATAATTTATTCCCTTCTTAAAATAAAGCTTTGGTGTTGTCGTGGTTTGACTCCAGCTGGCAACTAAGCACCACACAGCTGCTCACTCACTCCCTCAAAGCAGGATGGGGAAGAGAATCAGAAGGGCAAAAGTGCCAAAACTTGTGGGTTGACATGAAGACAGTTTAATAGGTAAAGCAAAAGCAACACAGGCAAGCAAAGCAAAAGAAGGAATTAATTCACTACTTCCCATTGGCAGGCAGGTGTTCAGCCATCTTCAGGAAAGCAGGGCTCCATCATGCATAAAGGTTACATAAACGCCATCACTCCAAACATCCCCTCCCCTCTTCCTTCTTCCTCCAGCTTTGTATGTTGAGCATGACATCATATGGTTTGGGATATCCCTTTGGTCAGCTGGGGTCAGCTGTCCCAGCTGTGTCCCCTCCCAACTTCTTGTGCACCCCCAGCCAACTCGCTGGTTGGGTGGTGTGAGGAGCACGAAAGGCCTTGAGTCTGTGTAAGCACTGCTCAGCAATAACTAAAACATCTGTGTTATCAGCACTGTTTTCAGCGCAAATCCAAAACATAGCCCCATACTACCTACTATGAAGAAAATTAACTCTATCCCAACCAAAATCAGCACAGGCATTTGGTCTCGGTACTAGAGAATTGCCATATTATAATGCTCTCATCACAAAGGATGATCTCAGACACCTTAGTTCACTTTCACGTCAGGACTATACTCAAATTTACGTTTTTTGAAAAAGTTGAAATGTTCTTAATTGTTAAGCTCCTTTGAATTAAGACAGTGAGCATCACAAGTCACTGAAGCAGTTAGGCCATCTAGTACAGGTTACTGAAGAAAGAAATTAGCAGAATAAGGCAAACTGACACCAACATATTTTAAAATATATAAATTAGAGTTTTTTGGATCTCAATATATAGTTTTCCTTGCCAGAATAAGTTCCTGCTGCCCATAAGCTGGTTAAGGCTGTTTCCTGCCCTCTGAAACAAAACAACCACCATAAGCTTTATCATTTCTGACTACACCAAACACAGAAGATTCATTTATTCAATGCATAACTGGGTTAAACATAAGTATTCCAGTAAGGAAAAACTTTGGGTTTTTTTTGAGCTGATGAGGGAAAAGTTTGGCTTGGCAGCAGAGTAGAGAATATAAAACCAGTCCATACCAATAACATTGAGAAATAAGCAAATTCTAGCAGGACTGAAGATCAGCCAGCAATGTGCCCTGGCAGAGAAGAAGTCCAACAGTATCCCTGGCAGTATTAACTGGAGCATGGTCAGCATAACAAGGAAAGGGATTATCACCCTCTACTCAGCACTTATTAGACCACACCTAAATACAGCATCCAGTGTTGGGGCTCCTAAGAGAAGGGGACAGCAGTACATCTGAGTGAATTCAGCAGAGAAACACCAGGATAGTCAGGGTGTGGAGCATCCCATGAGGGGAGACTGACAGATGAGGGCTTGCTCAGCCTGGAGAACAGACTGCTTCAGGACCTGACAGCAGCCCCCTAGTATCTGCAAGGGGGTGATCAAGATGACAAAGACAGGCTCCTCAGAGCAGTGCATGATGAGAAGAGTTTCAGTTGGATAGAAGGAAAATCTTTTTCACCCTGAGGACAGTCAGGCAGTGGAACAATGTGCCCAGAGAGGCTGTACAGTCCATATCCTTGGAGCTTTTCAAGACAACAGGATAAAGCCCTGAGCAACCTCCCAGCTGGCATGGCTTCGAGCAGGAGGTTGGAGACTAGACTGCTTGAGCTGGACAAGATGACCTCCAGAAGTCCCTTCCAACCTCAACCATTCTGTGATTTTGCAACTTCCTAAGGTCTCTTCCAACCTGAGTTTTCCTGTGAATTTACCAAATAAAAATTTTAAAGATTAAGCTATTTATAAAAACAAAGTACTCCAATGCTTTTTGTAAGTTTATTTGGATTTCTAATGACTATTTTAAGTGGTAAATTAAAGTAAAAACGGGTCTGGTTCTTTTAAGTTAAAACCCATTCTAAATCCATAGAAAATTTGTTAGAAGTAGGAAGATTCCAGTATAGGGTTGGAAAACAATTTGTCAGTAATTAACAAAGCTCACAGTACAGGAACAAAAAAGGAATAATCCCTACTTTCATATTTTAACAATGTCAGTGTGAAACGCTGCCATATGTCAGATGCTTAAAATCGCACTGAATTTTGGATAAAGTCTTCAAAAAATAAAAATGGATTTACACAAACAATACAAAAAAACCAAACCCAAAACAAATACAGTCAAACTATTCTATAAATAACAAAAAGCAGGAAATTAAAAGGCATGAGAGACAACAGCATTGGTTTCCTGTTTTAATGCAGAATGATACAAGAACAAGAAACCGTCAGTAGTCACTTGTATTTTCCCCCAAGTATTTTTTTAAAAAAATCAAGCACCCTCAATTATGTTTTAGCTTGACTTGTAAATAAGTATCTCAAAAGCTAAGGATGCACTCATCTCTAGATTTTGGGGGTGTAATTTTTTTCAGTTAACTAATAAAATTCTGCCTCCAGTGAAATAAATGACTACATCCCTATGAAAACCCAGCTAAGGAAGTTGAAAGATCTGAGTTCTTCTTCCTATTCCTGTCAGCAAATCCATGCCAGGTGTCTGGCAATCCAACAAACTCTTTTGTGGCATTAATTTTTATACACAAAAACTTTTCACTTAAAACTATCTCCCCCCTCCCCAAGCTTTTAGAGTTGAACCACTGGATCTCAAGTCATTCACCTTTGGAAAAATCCATTAAAATGTAAAGAATTTTTAATGCTCTTTAGGAAAAGATTAAGTCTAACTAGTGCTTTCAGAACTGTAAGATATGTCTCAGTGTTTAAGCTGAACCTGGTTAATTAAGGAAAGTAATCATCATCTACTGATGGAAAAAGCTATCTCCTGTATTAAAAAAAAGTCTTCATATTCTATGAGATTATTTAACAGAAGGAAAAAAACACACTAGCAAGCTTAATTTAATTCTGCGGTTTAATGACTAACTCATAAGGATGTGTATTGCATTTATTTTCCAGGAATATTAATACAGATTGCTTAGAAACATAAGAGTTGTAGCAGTACAGCTCATCCCTGAACAATGCTTAGTGAGTGACTGTGGTTGCTACCGCTAGCAGAAGTCTGAGACTTGGACATGTAACCAAGTTTATTTACGGAAGGGGAAATCCTTCTATGTGATTCAAGAGAGACTGAGCCTTGTCTATTATTCTGTTACTTCGATTTTCTGCCATACAAATAGCCAGAATTCCAGTTTCTCTCTTTTGTGTTGATGTACTATGAAATGGTTAAAGAAGAGGTCCTTACACTTTCCTAGACTAGTGCAAATAATATAATGTATACCATAACTGATAACTCCAGTTAACTCTGTTAACCTCAAGTTCCTGAAAAAAACCAGAGCTTTTTAAATTATTATTTCTGAAGGGAAAACAATGGTTAGCATAACAGTTTGGAAATATTGTTTAAATTATCACAAATCTCCCCTCCATGTAATAAATCAACAAATGTAAGAGAGAGAACTAGGTTAAAGGCAAAATTATTGCATTTGATGCACCCTTAATCTTTCCTCATGTCCTTTCATCCCATCTTAATCTAAAAGACGACACTGAGACTCAGTCTAACTTGTGCAAACCCAGGGGATATTGTGGTATCAAAAGCTAGACAGTGTGCCTTGCCCAACTGCAAAAGGCTGACCATCAAGTTTGGAAAGGACCTCCTGCAGCTACACCGCTGTCAGTACCGCTCCTGAAAAGAAAAGAGGGCACAAGCATCTGTGAGAAATCACCTCCTTTTTAGCTTCTCTGTGAATATTCAGCTTTCAGAAAGAAAACGGTAAGAGTGAGAAAGGAGATATCTCAGAGGGAAGGTAGAACCTACCTACTGTGATGCTCCCTGTTTTGGTCTGAAGGCTGGTGTTACCTGTCAGGAAAAGAAAAGAGGGGGAAAAAACATTAAAAGCATGTTATTTAACTGGTTTCTGAAATCATAACAAAGGCTACAGTAATGTGACCCTATACTCGGTCATTATAGTTGTAGCAGTATATCTGATTTGCATATAAAAATAAAATAGCATAAACCAGTTATATTGCCTGAATATTATTGCTTCACAAACAAAAATCTCCACATGTGGATAACAATGAAGTGATTCCAGACAAGAAAAACACTCAGAGTAAAGATTAAAGACAGAGTGGATGTGAGGGAAAGAAAAGCAGAGAGGCATTGTGAGACTAGAAGCACGATACTTTCTCATTCTCTTTTGGGCCATTCTTTTTTGTTTGTTTGTTTGTTTTAATTGCTCTGATGCCTGCAACAGCACCATGGGTGATTTAAGTAGTTTAATAGGATGAGTAACAGAAGCAGTCTCTATTTTCCTCTTTTTTTATACATACACACGTGCTCACTCCATTCCCACAAAGAGACTTTTTGCTTTATCCTCAAAGGCTACCTTCTGGACTCACTGTACCTTGCCCATGCCCTTCAAACTTACTCTTGTCTGCATGATGACCCCTTGTCAATGTTTTTCATTGACTTCAGTGAGAGCCGAGCGCGTTGGACAAACTGGAGAACATCCAACAAAAGAGTGTGTAAGGAATAAAATGTAGAATGGTCTCCTTCTGAACTTGCATTACTTTGAACAGGCACTGGTGTTTTAGCCTTACAATCTCAAAACACATAAGCTTTCCCTCTACCTATGTCATCAAGAGAAACTAGAAAGAAGACAGGTGTGCCTCATAACAGAAAAGCCATCTATACTACTAAGTCTAACAAAGCTGGTAGAAACTTCCATAGTTCCATGTATGTCACACATGTATAGCTGCCTCACAAAAAGTGCTTTAAATTAAAAAGCTAAAGCACACATGTCATTCTTTCCACTCCCTCATCCTTACAGGAAGGCAACAGATTGAAAAATAAGGTTGATCACAGTAATTGAGTCCAATTTAGTAATACACAGTATTCACAACAGTTTTCATATCTTTTGGAAGAGGCCTTTAAAAATTGCAAATGGATCAAGCTCTGCTCCTATCTTCTGTAATTACACAGTAGTAAACAACCATTAGGGTAGAATGCATTCCACTGTATGTGACCTGCGGTGTTTTTCTTAGTGGTCCATGGGCTGAAAGCTAAAAAAAAAAAAGCAGCCTATCATCTTAGATTCATCATTTCAAGCACATACTGTACCAAATACTTAAGGGTTCTGAAAATCAGAGTAAAACAAATGTTCAATGAACCTAAAAGACACTTGGCTTTAATGTGTGCTGTTTTTAAAAGGGACACTTTAATTATCCCACCCTTTTTCCCATTTTACTATGGCTAGTACTTATTTTTGTACAATCTACAAAAAACTTCTTGTAAGCTAGCAACTCCCATGGAGCTAAAGCTAGATTATACTGTCTGAATATAAGCCTAGAGACTTGTGGATTTTCTGGTCTGCTCTTTGCTTTTATGAGGTTTTTTGTTTTGTCTTCTGATAAGCAGGTCCTTGAAAAACTATTAAACATTTAGAAATCAAACTTCTATTAACCACAAACTTATCTGGCAGATACAACTGATGCTGCATAACGTAAACATATTAGTGTGATAGGCTCACTTCAAATATTTAGCTAGAAGAAAATTTGCTTTTTAAAGCACATAGGAAAGTCCTGCTGTGTTGCGACCTGCACTGTGTACAGAAGTGTACCTTTGGTCATGTAATTGTTGCATGAAGGCCAAAACTTAACTTACAATTTTTAAGCTAGCCAAGTATTTTCTGGACACATCAAGGGCAAAGAGAGAAAGACCTGATTAGAGGTGATGACTGCTTTGGTTATTACATCCAACAGACTTCAGCATGGTAGTGCAATACTCTAAAGTCCAAAACACAATAGTTTTAACAGAATATTGATGACAGTAGCTTAGTGTTTCTTTTTTTATTGCTTCTGAACAAACACTTTTCTATCATGTACAGGCTTTGCTTCTCCATAAACACTATAACTAAAACTTCAAACTAGAGTAGTGCAAGTCAGGATCAGTATAGGACCGGGGGAAAAGATGTTTTTTGGGGATATAAATAAAAGGCATCACTTTACATTGTATTATTTCCATTCCTTTAACTTGTTTTGAAGGGTCTCAAAGCAGCAGAGTTATTCTGATGCACAGAAAAAGCAAATAAACCACCATGCAGCTTTTTACCACTTTGACTTTGCATTTTAAATTTGTATCAGACTAAAGTAGAAACATGCCTAAAAAGGAACAAAAGTAAAATTAATTTCTACAATCCCACTTTATATACACTGAAATCCAGAAACATAGCTGAAGTTCATGGAACTTACTCTGGTCTATCAGATTCTTTTCAGACAGGATCACAGAATGCCAAGCTCAAGCATTACACCATACTACCTTCAAAACTGCAGATTTTCCACTGTGTCTTATTCAGGTCACTGACAAGATAAGGTGGCCATGTATTCACCTTTTCCTATATATTACTTATTATGTAAATATATCAAGTAATAGCCGTGTTTTCCAGTGTGATTCTTTCACATAATGAAACAGTTACTAGACTATGATAGAAGAAAGGTCAAAAGCAAATATAAAGTCCTGCATGCGAGACACATCAACCCTGTAAAGCAGTAAAAGCTGAGTGCTCACTGTTTGTTAAGAAGCTCTGCAGGTAAAGACCTGGGCATCTTGATGCACATCAAAACCAGTATGAGTCAGTAAAGAAGGTTAACTGCACAGTGAGCTGTATGATTAAAAGCATAGCCAGCCTGTAAAATCCTCTTGTGAGACTGCCTTTGGAATACTGTGTCCAATTTTGGGCTTCCCAGTCAAGAGAGACACTGGCATAGTAAAGTGAGGCCAGAGACTGCTACTGAAAAAAGTAGGGGCCCAGTGCACATTACAGGTGCTCAGAGAGCTGGGGTTTGTTTTGCTTGAAAAGGAAAAGGCTGAGGAGGCATCTTCTTGTGCTTCAACTAGCTAATGTAAGGGTACAGAGAAAAGAGACAGACTCTTCTCATGGTGATGCAGCAAGAAGGGATAATGGTTTCAAGTTGCCATAAGGCAACTTTCTTTTGAAAAAAAGAAAGAAAAGTAAAGTTTTTTTCCCCACCAGAAGGATAATTCAGAACTGGAACAAGTTGTCTAGAAAGGTCATAAAATCTCTCTCTGGAGACATTCAAAACTCTCCTGGACAGGTTCCTGTGTGATCTTCTCTGGGTGCTCCTGCTCTAGCAGGGGGGTTGGACTAGAGGATCTTCAGAGGTCCCTTACAACCCTTACCATTCTGTGATCTCTGTCCTTGAGAATATTCACAGGTCAACCAGACAAGGCCTTGAGCAAGTTTGCTTTAATCGATCCCACTTTAAGCATTAATTTGGACTAGATGTCAAATTCCTTTACAACTTGCAATCTTTTGTGGATAAAATAAATTAATAATTAATGCAACTCAACCCAAGACTTCGGCACAGTTACAAAGAAAGGCTTCCTTTCTCTCCTATGTGCCCCTCTGTGGAGGGGCTTCATAGAATCATAGAATGGTTTTGGTTGGAAAAGACCTTTAAGATTGAGAAATGTGCAAATTTATCATTCTCTGTCTCAGAGCTATTGCCCTTTTGTTTTTCAAGTGTCAACGCAAAAAACCAGTGGCACCTGACATTTCTAATGCCTGTTACAGAAACTTATGAAAATTACTTAAAACCAGTTTCTTTGAAATAATGCATTATTCATTTGCTGTAGAAGTATGAAGCGTGCAAAAGAGCAATTAATAAAGCTTGGACACTGAGTGTTGGAATTGTACAGCCCAAGATTCCACTACAAAATGGGTCTCGGGCAGGTTTGACAAGTTTCTGTTGCCCTGACTTCAAAGTTCTCTCTGCAAATCAATGAAGTTTAGCTCAGTTTTGTGCACAGATGTACTGATTTTATGCACAGACACATACTGTCTGTTGGCTACAGCGAAATAGCAGGCTCAATTGCCCAAGAAAATTAACTGTCCAATTTGGGTGGTTGGAAGGGTCTAGCGGGAGACGTCCCTGCTTGTGGAAGAGAGGTTGGAACCTGATCTTTAAGGTCCCTTTCCAAACCAATCCATTCTATGCTTCTATGAACTGTTTAGAAACAATACTACTAAAATTGAGCTACCTCATGAGAAAAGACTAGAAAGTGAAAGTAACCAAGTCCCGACAAAAGTATACCAAGAGTTTATCTTTTCCACTAAAATTGTTTGTATGTGTGTATATAAATATATATAAAAGAAATATGTAAGTATGTGTATATATATATTTGCTCTTACTATTAAAACATGATTGAAGAGCATGATGTTTAGCAGAAAATATTTTTCTGGAAAAACAGACTAGAAGTACCACGCAAATGTTAATGCGGAATATTTTTAAAAAGAAACAGCTAAAATAACATTAAGTGTTCCAGACTCATTTAGTAGAGAGCTCATTAAAATAATCCTGAAGTAACGTAAGAAATGTCTGTATAATTTGGATACAGTTCTATTCTTTCACATTGTTCTTCAGCTAAATGACAATGCAGCATTACTATGCCAGTAAGTCACTAACTACAGCGGTTTTGTGCATTTTTGTGCCAAGAAATAAAAAAAAAAAACCAACCACTTTTGGATGTGCAGAGAGGCATGAACATGCTCACAAACTGATCATTCCACAATATCATTATATTGGTCTGAAGTTAGAGAAAAAACAAACAAACCCCAAACTACAGAGCTTATCAGACAGAAGTACCAGTAACAACAGTCTAAATTTTAGAAAAATGCATTAACAACAAGCAGGAAAAAAAAGCCAACAAAACTTATTTCTGCTTATGCATCGTGAAGTAAACCTTACCTAATAAGCTTAGAAAACATTCTTAAATTTACTATAAACAAACAAAGGAGTTGCTCCTTTAAGAAAGAAACAAGAGTCATTTCTCAAGCAAGATGACAACACAAGATTGCTAAGAAATTGCAGCAAATTGTTTATAAGGCATATAGCTGGAAATTTGAAACTCTGACTGAGCTGACTAATTTTCCATTCTTTGCACATCCTCCAGTTAGCTTTACTTAATGTTAAATCACCACAAACACATTAGAGCACGGTGGGAATATTGTTAAAGTGGAAGACCACACCAGAATCCAACCTTGACTACTCTTTTGTATTAAAGACATTCAAATAACTAGTTTTAGTTCTAGCCAAAGGACATCAAAAGGTGGATGGATTAGAGATATTTTTTTCCCCCAGAAATCAGAAACAGAAATCATCACCACTCTATTAGTGTAGGGTGCCAGCACACACACAGACTATTTCTGCTAAAAACTTCTAAATACAACCATATTCTACCATAGTTCTTAGTAGATGCTGTAAGACTTACTTCTCCTTTGAAGAAAATAAAGGATGGAGAGTTTTTGAGAAGCCTCTTTACGACTTCTAGTATAATTTTAATTGCTGAATTTTAAAATATTTTGACATCCTTAGTATGTGTGATGATTCCTATAATTGACTGTGTTTTCACAAGAGTGCTTATAAAAATGTTTTAAAAAATAAATACAGTATGCTATAGGGTAAATTCTCATCAATTCAGTCTAACAAATACAGAACTGTTTTGTTCATATAATGTGTGCAGATGATTTAGTGATAGTCTACAGCATTAATCCATCTGTTACTGTGAACATTATGAACACCTTCAAAGCAGCTACATTTGTGAAAGTACTTCCCTAACCATGTGACAGTATTTCCTTCTTACCATGAATACTTCCCAGCAGAATATCACCAGCTACTGAAGACAGAGATGATGTTTCTGCATAGAGATACTTAGTTTTCAGCAGCCCATCTTCAGTAGATATATTGATGGACGTCCCCTGCAGCTTCTCTATATTCACGCTCTAAGAGAAATAAACTTAAATAAACATAATGGAAAATTTGTCATCACAGTTTGAAAAGGCAGAGGTAAGTAACACCATTAAGAGGCAAAACAAATAGAAAGCGGTTCTTGGTACAGAACAAATTGTCGAATTATTAGTTAAGAACTACCCAAGGCAAAACAGAAAGCCTCTTCATCCAAGAGCTCCCACCAAGAAGTCTGATTCTTTAGAACATTTCTATGAATTATTACATCCATCACACAGGTGAAGAACTCCCTCCCTCCCCCCAAAAAAAAAATCACAAACAGGTTAAAGAAAAACTTGATGTACTTTTAAAAACCTTCATTTTGACAAATAAAATAATAGAAAAATTAGTACTAATGCTGAAGACTTAGAGGTCATACAGCATTATGACACTTAAAGCACGAGGAATCAGGTTTCTGCCACTGTATACTGAAACATCCACTATCTTTGTTATGTACAGCTATTTATGCAGATTTTTTTTCTGGCTTACTTTGTAGATACAGCTTTGGTGAAGGTTTGCAAAAAAAAAAAAAAAGCAGCAGCTCTTTCTCAGAATAATTGTTTTTATTACCTTGGTTATTCAGGCCTATGTCCTTGGACTTAAGCCCCAGGCTATATGAAGCCTTGAAAAATGAGGGATAAGATCTCAGTTTCTACTTATTCTCAGTAGAAATGGGGAGAAAGTACAGAATTTGAAAAGATGCACTAGATTTGGGGAACAGAAGGTGGTAGATGAGATTATGTATTAGTAACAAGACATGTGACATAACCTATGCATATTTGAAAAAACAGGACAAACCACGCTATTGTGCAACTACCATATGAATTTAATTCTATTATTCAGTTAAACTTGATTTATGATTTCTAGAACTAGAGAAATGTGACCATCAATGTCTGCAATCTCTGCAGGTGATGCTACACATAGAACTATGCTACAGAATCTAAGCATCAACAGGAAACAAAACCATTAAGGCTTAATTTGTCACTACTGAAAGTGACAGCAATTCAGCTTGTCAATCTTTCAATGCTTCTAAAATAACTAACAAGCAGAAACCTTAAGGAACATAAGTTTACATAGTATCTGTCCTACAAACACTTCCCACAGTATTCCACTACTCCCACACTCAAGAGTGGCAAAGTGTACATCTGCTGTGGCACATAGCCAAAGCAACACGTTAAAAAACAAAGCCACTGTCATTTTAGGTTCTGTGGTCTAAACCTGCTCTGAAGAGTTAAATGACTTGCAAAGAACCTTTCCAATTTTAGCCATCATTACTGTTAGCACAATGAAATTAGAAAGCTTAGTGAAATTAGGGGGTGGGAATAAAATAAAAATATCTGCATAGCTTGGGTACAAACTAGCTGCCTTGTCGCATTCCTGAACCAAAAAAGAAAAGCCTCAAAAGCTACATCTGTCAGTATGGTATGCAAGTTTTAAGCCTATACAGATGTTTACATTATTCAAATATTATTAAGTGCTTTAGTATAAACAAGCTCACATACCAACTCATCTTATTTACCAGCCTCAACAATCTTTCCTAAAAATGCACAGCAATAAAGAGTTGTTTCAGCACATGATAAAAAGTAGTACTGGGTCAGCTAGTTACTATAAAAAAATAAAACAAAACCTACTAATACTACGAACATTTGTTTCAGAATTATCCAAATTGGGCAGGGGTGGGGGGGTGAAGTCAGACTGCTCAAGTGTAAGACTAGAAAAAGTATTCTAGATAGGGAAAGCATGGAAAAATATATGATTGCTTTTTACTGAGACTAAATGTTTTTAATACAAAATTCTTTAACTTTTATGGACTTTTGGCAGAACACAGATGTTTGACTCTGCTACATAAGTGTCATAAAAAAGTCCCCATGGCACAAAGTAGCTAATGACTTCCCAGACAAACAAAATTGATCATTTTTGTTCATTGAACCACCAGGTTTTCTGGAAAATTTCCTTCCCTTGAGAGTAGAGCCATGGGAGCTGCTGTTACTGAGAATGGCCACATGCTCAAGTTCCATCAGTTTCTTACCCTTTAAAGAAAAACTTCATAAATCAGATTGAGAATGTTTTTGCACCTGAACACATTTTCAAGATGAAAACATCTTGCTTTGTTTAAATATAACAAAAACAACTCCTTCCCCACTCCTTGCCCTCTTGGCATTCCTTTTTGTGCTATCCTTGCTCCAATATTTTACTAGTATCTTCTCCATTTCCCCCCCTGTAAAAATATCCTCTACTTCTCAAGTGCTTCAGTGTCTTTTACCACATCCTTTCTCTCCCCACCTCCAGGAGGTGGCTGGAAATGCTGACAGAGCCATAACTACTTGGTGATGACTACAACCGATGGAAGAAACATTTCATACAAACACACACAGGAGACATAAGGCTGACAGATTAACAGAAATGGCCAACTGAGAAAATAAATCTCACACTGTCCTTTCTAACTGCACAGCAAAGTTTGTTAATGAGAAATTCAACAAAAGTCAAAATATTGTTCCATAGCTGTAAATTCCTATTAAAATGACTCACTTAAGCACAGCTTTACAACTGTAAGAGTGACTCTGAGCAATATTACAGACTATGTAAACATTTATAATCAAAGCAGCACTTCAACTTAATCTATTAAGTTTGTTTTATTGTTTCCAAAGGACAGTGTGTCTGAAAAAGTTAGAGTTTTAAAAAGCATTTAAAGACTCAAAGCAGAACAATTATATTTCTCATTTTCAAGAGCTAAATTTTCACACAATAAAGATCTAATTCTTTTTCTATCATCCACTTTTTTACCCAACACCAGCAAGATGCTATTTGAAATGAACTCCATGAACTGTAATGGTGTAACAAACTAGTTTGGGGCAAATGACTAAGCAGCATAACCCTAAGAGACCACCACCACGCTAGTATGTTGTGAAGAGTATCAATTCACAGTGGTCAAAGCACTTCCCAGATTGCACACAATCTTCTTCACCGGCAGAAAGCAAGGATTCCAGTTTTCAGTCCTTCCAACAGAAGCCCTCTGCAGGAAGATGGATCACAGAATCACACAGAATCACAGAATCACTCGGTTGGAAAAGACCTCTGAGACCATCATGTCCAGCCATTCCTGTCTATCCACTAAACCATATCCTTAAGTACCTCATCTACCCGCTCCTTAAATACATCCAGGCATGGTGACTCCACCACCTCCCTGGGCAGCCTGTTCCAGCTTCTAACGACCCTCTCAGTAAAGAACTTCCTCCTTATCTCTAACCTGAACCTTCCTTGGCACAGCTTGGTGCCGTTTCCCCTTGTTCTATCCCCCATCACCTGGGAGAAGAGACCAGCACCCACCTCTCTCCAACCTCCCTTTAGGTATTGTAGATGGTGAGGAGGTCTCCCCTCAGCCTCCTCTTCTCCAGGCAGTTCCCTCAGCCGCTCCTCGTAAGGCTTGTTCTCCAGACCCCTCACCATCCTTGTGGCTCTTCTCTGAGCACGCTCCAGAATCTCAACATCCTTCTTATAGTGAGGGGCCCAGAACTGAACACAGTACTCGAGGTGCGGCCTCACCAGTGCTGAGTACAGGGGAATAATCACCTCCCTGGACCTGCTGGTCACACTGTTTTTAATACAGGCCAAGATGCCATTGGCTTTTCTGGCCACGTGGGCACAGTGCTGGCTCATGTTAAGCCGACTGTCAACAGTCCTAAGAAAACTGCCAATCAATTAGCACTGAGCAGCCCAACTGTGGCATCAACAGATCAGACCATAGTCAGACCTTACCCACTCCACTTTATGCTGAGAGGTCTTGCTGGCATGAAATAATGTTCATAAAGAAGCATCAACCATAGAACTATAGAATCATTTAGGGTGGAAAAGACCTTTAAGATCATCTAATCCAACAGTAAACTAAATACTGCCAAGGCCACCACTAAACCATGTCCCTAAGTGCCACATCTAAAACACATCTTTTAAATACGTCCAGGGATGGTGACTCTACCACTTCCCTGTGCAGCCTGTTCCAATGCTTGATAAATGTTTTGGTGAAGAAATTTTGCCTATATCCAAGCTAAACCCTCCCTGGTGCAAATTGAGGCCATTTTCTCTTGTCCAATCACTTGTTACTTGGGAAGAAACTGACACCCATTTCACTACAACCTCCTTTCATGTAGTTGTAGAGAGTGATAAGGTCTCCCCTCAGCCTTTTCTCTAGACTAAGCAACTCCAGATTAAACAACCCCCAGCAACAGTACAGCTACAGCAGCCTCTGGGCTCTTTTGTACATAAGAGGCAGGCTAGCAGAGAAATGCATGTTGTTTAATGTTGACAGTTTTTTTGAAAATACAGTGGCAACAGGACATTAAGAAAGGCTCACTTCTGGGTCTGTGTAAGAGAGCATAGAATCTCAGAACCCAATCTACAAGGTATAACAGTGCCAAATAGCACTTCACAGAGGTGATTTTGGGCTCCTAGAATTTAATAGCTTAGTCTCAATTCTATCCTTTGCTAGTGAGAGCTACCTGCACTCTTTGATTCTTCCCAGTGCTGCTCGTTTTAAGGGTATGTGTTGATTCTGACAGAGTACTGCATGTATTCAAGCTACTTCCAGACCTGGCTTGACTCCACATGTTCATATAGCAATGCTCCAGGTGTAATAAATCGTAATGTAATTAGTTGCATGGACATCACAATGCCTAAACATTCAAGCTGAGCATAAAAACCAGAACTGTAGTATTACATTATTTTAAGTAATGGAGAATTGACCGATTATGGGAAGAAACAAAACCAGACTAGAGTAGTATGAGGTTTGTCTCATGCTGCCATCTGCTGAAAAAAGCAAGCCCCTTCACTATGAAACAGTTTTCCTATTCATGATTCTTCTAACTGCATCTCATAAAATTACACATGATCAGATTTCCTCAGCTGAATATAAATACACAAAACCTTCTACCCTTCTGTTCTTACAACCATATCATGTTGGAAATGTACAGCATGTACAACAAATATCAAGCCACTATTCATGAGACACTAAAATAAACTCATGGGTCTACTGTAAGATCCAGGTGCCTAGGTATCAGTCAAGTAAAAAGTTTAAGAGTGTTCTGAGGGCCTACATAATTAAAGCTGATGAGTTGTATCAGCTAGCACAATCTCTGCTGATGGAAACATCACATGCTTATTACTGCTCTTTCTCTGGAGCTTGTTTACTAGTCCAAATCAAGCATAAGATAAGACAGTAAAATTAAACAGACAAATGTAAGTTAACAGTAATATCACAATCAACCAATGAGGGTCATTAAATATTCCTCAGCACATTCTTCAAAATTCAGTCATTTTGCATAAGCTGAAAAAGTCATTGCAGAAAAAGTTTTACTTCTTACTTACACCCTTCTCTGTTGCACAAATATCTGTATTTCCATAAAGCGTTCCAAGACCAATTACTTTGCCACCATTTGTTCGTATATCAATTTTATGGCTCTGAAAAAAAAGTTTAAAAATCCCATGGTTAGGATAATCAATATCAGAAAAAAAAGTTATCTTGCTTTTTCAAGCTGTACCATAATAACCACCTTGGACCACAAACTTCCACTTTACTATGAAGGTTTCTTCTCAAGTGATTGCCAAATGTGCTGTTCATTTCCAGTGGAATCAAACTCAAAACAAGTCATCTTTCTTTGTGACCAGAAACACAAGGGAAAGAATGATGCTGAGGAACCCTATCCTCAATACAAGTCAGTTTTTTTGGTTTGGTTTGTTGTTTGGTTTTGGGTGGGTTTTTTGGGTTTTTGTTTGTGTTTGTTTGTTTTGTTTGGGGTTTTGGGGCTTTTGTTTGTTTTTAACTAAACATTCACTCAGTATACATTAAAAGAAGCAGCAGGTAAGAAAGAGGGAACTTCATATTTCATTTATACACCAAAAGTACCAGTCAAAATTCATTAGAAAAACCTCACACATAATACTCACCTTTTCTGTTCAATTACTAGCATGCATGATTAAGGTGCGTAGATATCAAATTTGTAGGTCTTCAGTGAAGGCACCATACAGTATACCAAAAAATCAGCAAGTTTTTATGAATTACAAGTTACTTGTATATCTTCTTGCAGTCTGTGGCAAGTTAAGAGACTTAGCAGTTGTGAAGCTGTTTGCTGGTGCTCCTGAATAATCTCCACATGACCAGATTTTTTAATTTATTCAAAGTCATCAATCCATGACCTTTTGCCCTCTACTGTAAAGAAAGTGCTTCCTGCTTCAATTGGTTTGTGAACAGCCTGACAGTGAAACAATATTAAACAGCTGTTTAATCCATCCAGGGGAGCGCAGTATCACTATAGTTTGCTGAGTAAAGCACATTCCCTACAGGATAATCAGCTCTTGTGCTGCACTGCAGAATCTAGCCTAGCAGATTTTCAGTAGCTTTAACAAACCCCAAATGCTAATAATTCTGCTTCTAACAAGTAATTCTGCTTCACTGCTAATACAGAGTATGACTCCTGAACCTCTACTGGAACAACTGAGTTACAGTTGCCTTATTAGAACTACACTACTTCTTAAAAACATTAGGCTATAAACCACTTGTACAGATAAGAGATACTGTAATTGGACAATTGTTTGCTCCTGAAAACACCTACATGGTCAGCAATTTTAGTGTCAAACCTTTATCTCACTATTCCAGAGAGTCAACAAAACCCAGAGTGGTAAGATGTCTTCTGTAGTACTGTATGTATGTAAACAGAACAAAACCGTCATTCACAACTCAAAAGAATACTTCAGGTAACTATTTTGGTTAAAAAAAAACCCAAAGCTTTATAATCTACCAAAGCTTTGTTTTAACAAGTGTTTCAGTTGAAATCTGTAGTTCTTTGATTGTCTAAATTGAAAATGTCTTCTGGGACAAGGCAATTCCTATCATCTGAGGCTTAAGGGAGCAAAGAAGTTTCCTGTGGCCACCAACACAGTGGTCGCATTGAGGCACAGGGGAAGGATCCTCTTCTACACTTGTAGTTTTTCTGACATTTTTGAGAATCAAGCAAGGCTCAAATTTGACAGAGGTAAAAAAGCAACACCAAGCTCCTCTAACTTATAACAAGGCTGTGGAGGAATTGGTTAGCTGTCTTTCCTCAAAATCCTCTTCTTCCATGACATCACAAAAAATCTTGACAATTGTGATGGCATGTTGTGATTACGGTCACTACTGCTGGCCAAAACTACTTTGTTTTCTCATATTATGCAATTTCTCACATACCACTGTTTGCTGTTATTATTACATGGCAGAGTAATTTTTAACCAAAGCTGCAGACGGCAGTAACACATACAGTACTGTTAACTTGGTTAGATTTTAGTCACCTTGTTACGAGTGATATGGTCAATTACACAGAATCTGCAATATACAAGGTGTCTGTAGTTCACTGAATATGGAGTAAGTCCAGTTCTGTTGTGTATTAAATGAACTTCAGGTCAGTTTCCCATATGTGCACTATAAAATAATCTCTTCTTATGGTAGAGGAAAATGCTGAAGTATTTTTTCATATCTCAAAAACACTTCAACTTAGGAATTATCCTATTTGAAAAGTTTTTCTTTTGAATTATACCAATTCCTGCAGGTACAATCTCAATTGTTCAAGTGAATTTGATTCCAAACAGTACCTAGGTTAGATATACTTTGACTATTTCTACAAAAGCCAATGCCAGCAAACTTAAAGTCTTAAGATTGAAAAAACAAGGTGATGACCATGATACATACAGTATTTATCAGATACATTTCAGCCAGATATTTTTTACATGTAACATATAAATTCTGATTTAAAATTAACATAAAGAGTTTGTTAATAGCACTGATATATAAGAATTAAAAAAAACCAAGGAAAAAAAGCAGCATACTGCAAAGTCCCAACCGAGCAAGCGTTAAGTGTTAACCTACAAGACAGTCTGTCTGGTCTGGAGGCTTTTTTTTGAGGGGTGGGGAGGGCAGGTATCAGGTTTACTATTGTCACTGTTTCTGCCGGCTTTGGCTATCAAAGGTACCTGGATTTCTGACTCGACATTATTTAGTGTTCTTGACTTTGTGTCATAATTGTATACAATAGAAGGTGGGGTGCTACACACATGATAACTCTTAAGAGTACTTCTCATCTCCAGAACTGGTATTTAAGTTTTTATACTACTTTCTACCACACAATCCCTTTTAAAGCACTGATGGAGTGGAGGAGGGTTCTTTGTACCTTTATTGACTGCAAGACACTAGTCCCCTTCTCTGTTTCTATTTTGCAGTTATCACATTCTATTTTCTGAATCTTCACACAGCCGGTCCCTGATGTTTTGATATCCAAATCTAGAATTAAAAACGAGTTTTATTAGCAACAGAATGAGAAGAGTCAGATGTATTTAACACAGTACTTGATCACTTTACATAGTAACTACACAGAGTAGGGGAAAAAAAAGCAGATTATTTGTTACTAAAGAACCCTCTTGGAAAGTTTAGCCTCACACTTTCAATTGCATGACTAGTCACTATCAACAATCAACACTGAAACTTTTGTAAGCCTGTGTGTAGCCACCCAGCTTCAAGAGAGAACATGAAGAGGCAGCAGAGTGACTGTAAGCTCTGGCAAAGAACCAGCAGGGTGTGGTTCTTTAGCAAAGATTTATCCTTGGGATTTTTTTTTGTAAACCACTCCCAAACTCCACCTCCATATTAGCAATTCCACTGAGACATCTAGGTACCCTGACGTGGCTTTTGGGATGGGAAGGCTGGCAGGTTAAGGCCCCATGTAGAGTAATAAGATTCAATAACACAAATACATAGGTCTTGCTTCAACTAGTACTTGCTACACTGCTTCAACTAGTAAGCAGCATAACACAGACAGGTATAGAAGAGTTTGTGTGCATCATTCTTCCGTAGCCTTCTGGAAGACCTGACTTACCCATCAGCATGAACAAGCACGTTTCCCTCTAGTCTGAATCACCTCACCTTATTACTGTTCATAGGGTCCCACAAAAAAGTCACTAGGTCTCGCTAGTGACTCTCTGTTACCAAGAGAGTAATTGATGGGCTCATAATGCTTTACATGGGAGCAGTAAAAGTATTTTTCTGCCACTTGAGCTCACTCCTGAGTTTAAGGAACTGGGAAGAGGTTTGATAATGTGCAGTCTGAGGATTTTTACTATATTAATTATCATTTATATTAATGACCACCGTAACGACTGGCAAAAGGTAAAGACAGGAGAGAAAAAAAGTGTTGGTTTTTTTTTTCTGACAAGGATAAAAGGCAGAAAGAAGAAAAAGAAAAATTGAATAGGAGTCAGAAGTGTTCGCTGCAAGACACAACTGAAGAACTAAGTGAGCCTATTACTCTAAGGAAAACTAGATTGTCTGTGAAATAAACCTTCATTAAAGCACCTGCGAAAGTCTCTCTTTCACAGCTGCTATGTGCCAAGGTGACCTGAAATATGAGAAGAATCAGAGTAGGTATAACAAGCTCTGCCCCAACGAGATTCCCCAAGTCAGACTCATGACAGTGGAGGCTGCAGATCAGTAACATCATGCTGCTGCTCAGGACAGATGCTGGAACCACAACAGTAGCTTCCAGTCCATGAAGACTGGAGATTCAGAGTTCCAGTTAACAACAAAGTGAAGTTTTGCCACCTGACAAACAAGGAGAATCCAAGAGGCAGAGCTAAAACACATTACATCTTTGCTGCAATAGTGCTACCTTATTGCCACAGTAGGCTAAGAGGTTAAATTTAGTAAAGGATGTGCACTGTGTTCACAGGCAACAATCCCCTAAGAAAGAAGGCTAGAAGACGTGGACTCAATAAGCACGTTTTCCAGAAAGCAGTTTTATTTGCAGATATTATTTTCTTAGCCTCTTCATGGAAGACTTCCAAGAAAGAGAGACTGTGAGCAAGATTTTAATCAAACTATAAGTTTCTTAAATTTAAGCAAACTCTAAGACAGGCTTTGAGGCATGTAAAAGCACAAAAGCTGGCAAACTGGACTGGTGACTATCATCAGAGGCTCAAGCCACAAGGTTTTATGTTGGTAAAGCCTTGATAGTTTCACCAAACTAAAAATATCTGACATCTGATACCATCTGAGTGGTATCTGAGCTATTTCAATTTGATCAATGCTGATCTACAGGTTCTGCAGTTGAGACAAAACTTTTCCATAAGGTTTTACTTCTCAGGGAGCAGTTGTGTTGTTTAAACGCAGTTCCCAGAGAGACACAAATAGAGGCACTCTACAAACATCTACACTTGAAACAGTACGTCCCTGAGCAGCACAAACCTGGAGGGTTCAGAAAGAAAGCAATATTCTTTTTGAAATACAAGCTATCTTGTTCAGCACTGCTCAGATCACCCACTGGAAAACTGCACAGTCCTTGGGAGGGTCTAGGTCCAAGACTTTTGCTATTTTGCTTTCTGAGAAGAGAGAGATCCAAAAGCCAGTTTGCTTGTGCAAATCTTTGAATTCAGTCAGCCTTTTATTGCTTCTGTTAGAAGGGGGTGAGGAAAAGGGTTAAGAATGATCAGTTTAGCCATGATACCAACTTAGAACTTTTATAAGAATAAGGTTAATAAAAACTTCTGATCCTGCAGGGCACATTATGGTCATCATTTGAAAGGCAGATAAGTAGTATAATCCCAGCTGTATAAAAAGACAGATGCCAGAAGAGGACACAAGTCTGGGGAATCATGAGCACGCTGTTAAGAAACACCAAGGACTCCTGGAAACATACTTTGTGCCTTGATCCTCCGCAGAGTCACAGCACTTTGCTTGCCTTGATATAGGAAACAAAAAAAAAAAATAGTGGACAAGGAATGAAGCCCCTCTGTCTCACAAATAGGCTTCCTGAAGCAAGGGTAAATGACTTCACTAAGACACAGGCTAAAAGCTTTATAATATTGCTAACAATTTCAAGAAGCAGGGAGGAAAAGGATACAACCTGTTTCAGTGCCAAAGCTCTAAAAATAGCTAGTCTGATTCCTCCTTAGCAAAGATGAGGGCTGAAGCCAACTTCAGCCACACAGACCTTGAAGAATGCTTTAAGATCTTTGAGGTGCTAAGGACTTGTATTGGAAATAAAGGTACACAGGGAAAAAAAGAACTTTGGTATCAGAATGTAGGCAGGGGCACGCCAGAAATACCACCTTAAGCTGGAAAAAAGTGACTCAGCAGCCCTGTACTACTAGAAATACTTCACGATGATCCACTTCTCTGCTCATAGAGGAAGCTTACCAGTTAGTAAGTATGCATGTAAAATAATTCAGACTAAGGACAATAATTTAATAAGGGCAGATTATAGTATTTGCTACTCTGAGGTTGTAAGTCTGCCATACTTAGAAGACACTTATGATCTTTTTTCCAACTCATTAATATGTTGAGACTTCAGAAAAATATGCAGCTGGAAACACTGACATTTGTTTTCCACTAATGTTTAAAAAAAAAAAAAAACAAAAAACCACAAAAAGCAGAAACCAGCAGTTTCAGGAGCTTAGGTTTTCCCCTCATACAAGCAGGCAGAAAAATTGGTAGAGTGATACCATAGAGTTATGATTTTGGTAATTCACAGAAGCATTTGAGACCCATACATTCTTCCAGTTTGCTTAGCTCCACATGAATCTTAGCCAAAAAGCTAAGTGACCTCACAAACGTAACTCTTCCACATCAGTCTTATTTAAGTTCTCACATGGACAGAACTGACAATAATAAAAAAATATTGGAAAACCCATAGTGGCTTGCAAGTGAGCCTAGATCAGTAGTGCTTAATCCTGAGCCAGAAGAAACAAAGCTTTTGTATTCTACTCTGTGAAGCTTGGTCACCACATCAACACTCACGGCTCTCCTCGACTTTGGCATAGAACCCTCTGTCCTCTTCACCAGGGTATAATATGGAGAAAGCATTGGAACCGATTGCCAAAGGAGGCCGTGTAGTCTTCTTAGACGTTTTGAAAACCAGACTGGATAAAGCCTGAGCAGCCTCCTCCGATCTTGGAGTTAACGCTGCTTTGAGCGGGAGGTTGAACTAGAAAGCTTCGGAGGTCACTTCCAATCCAAATTATTCTATGATTCCATTATGTATATACTAAAGCAAAACATAAGAATTACATGGTAAGATAGGACAAATTATTCTCAAATTCTGGTTATGCAAGGTCTCAGTTGGGTTTACTTCCAACTACTCAAGTCAATGCACAGTAACCAGAAATCAAGAGCTGGTTTCAGCTTAATTAGCCCACGCAGTCCAAGATACCAAGACACAGCGTTCTCGATTTGCTGAGCACAATCTGAACCTACAGCCATGTGCCTACGCTATCCTTGGAATAAAAAGCTAACGTATACATGAGATCCAAAGGGAAAGAAATAAATATGCTAGATTAAAGAGAAATTAATTAGCATCTATAATCTCTAAAGATTAAATGCATCACAGAGGATTATCAGATTGTTTATGATATTGAAAGACCATACACAGCGTAAAACTAGACACTGAGACAGAAATAGAGGATCCTTTAGCAGACAGCCCAGTAGGGCAAGTACAAGTTGCCTTTGGTTTAAAATGCATGTTTAAGCTCACAATCAAGCATCTTCTGCAAACGCTCTTCAAAGTCTAAGTAGTTTTAGGTAATTTAGAGCTTCCTGAATATGGAAGCTGTTATGAAGTGCCACAACTTCCAAAACAGGGAAAGGAGCTAAAATACTGTAAAGACATTCACATCAACTTCTCAACTTCTTACAGCTTCATGACAGAAAGAGAGCTCAGATAAAAACAGTCTATACAGAACAGAGTTAACATCTTCCTTGCACATTAATCCTGTAATGCTGGTATGGACTCTGTGAATGTACTACAGACAAGCCAAGGGAATCTTTCCACTCGCCAAGCAGGAAAAAAATACATCTGTAAGAATGTAACCGACAATTCTTAGGGGAGTGTCAAAACTACAGAAGTTTCCTGGAGAAGACAGTCCTGCTACAGTTCAGTGGAAGTAACAGTTGATCTATTTAAGAGAAGAACTTGGATTTTCAGATGTCTGACAGTATCCTTAGTCCTATATTGTCTTTTAGCTATAAACTATGCATCATCTTCAACACTACATTAATTTGGAAACCAGCACAAATACCAAGGTTGAAAAGTTTTATCAATGACACTGAATTATTCAGACTAGTTAAAAACTCATGGGCAAACTGCAGAGAGATCTTGGAATACCACATACTTGAACGGTAAATAGCAGGCAATTGAATGGATGGTGAGTCTTGTGGAACTCTTTGCCAAGTGGCATGGAGTTTGGCAGGAAGCTTTCACCCTGAAACTGTTTGTATGTGTAAATGGACACTAG